AGGTCTTAACCATTATATTTCTATAAGGTCTAAAAAGTTTTTAGTCAGGCTGGGCGTGGTGGCTTATGCCTGTAATCCCAGTGCTTTGGGAGGCCGAGGCAGGTGAATCACGAGGCCAGGAGTTTGAGACCAGCCTGACCAACATGGTGAAACCCTGTCTCCACTAAAAATACAAAAATGAGCTGAGTGTGGTGGTGGGTGCCTGTAATCCCAGCTACTCAGGAGGCTGAGGCAGGAAAATTGCTTGAATCCAGGAGGCGGAGGTTGCAGTGAGCCGAGATCATGCCATTGCACTCCAGCCTGGGCGACAGAGTGAGACTCTGTTTCAAAAAAACAAAAAAAAATTAGCTGAGTGTGGTGGTCGGCCGCTGTAATCCCAGTCACTTGGGAAGCTGAGGGAAGAGAATTCACTTGAACCTGGGAGGCAGAGGTTGCAGTGAGCTTAGATCACGCCATCACACTCCAGCCTCGGTGACGAGAGCAAAACTCCATCTCAAAAAAAAAAAAAGTTTTTAGTTAGTATACTGTTTTGATATGATGTAATTTAAATATTTTAGTTTAAGAGGAATTTCAGAGGTGCTTCTGTTTACTACTGTAAGGTTCATTAGCACTACTGTACTTTCTTTTAAACCACATTCAGGCCAGGCTTGGTGGCTCATGCCTATAATCCCAGCACTTTGGAAGACTGAGGCAGGAGAATTGCTTGAGCCCAGGAATTCAAGCCCAGCCTGGGCAACATAGTGAGACTCCATCTCTATCAAAAAAAAATACATATATATGTTTTTCAAGATGGAGTTTCGCTCTTGTTGCCCAGGCTGGAGTGCAGTGGTGTGATCTCGGCTCACTGCAGCCTCCGCCTCACGGGTTCAGGTGATTCTCCTGCCTCAGCCTCCTGAGTAGCTGGTATTACAGGCATGCACCACCACACCTAGCTAGTTTTATATTTTTAGTAGAGACAGGGTTTCTCCATGTTGGCCAGGCTAGTCTCAAACTCCCAACCTCAGGTGATCTCCTTGCCTTGGCCTCCCAAAGTGCTGGGGTTACAGGCATCAGCCACTGTGCATGGCCAAAAATAAATAAATAAATATATTTATTTATTTATTTATTTTAATTACATATATATATGTATATATGTAATTTATATATATATATATGTATATATGTAATTTATATATATATAAATAAAATTAACTGGGTGTGGTAGCCTGCACCTGTAGTCCTAGCCACTGGGGAGGCTGAGGTAGGAAGATTACTTGAGCTCAGGGCATTGAGACTGCAGTGAGCTATGTTCACACCACTGCACTTCATTCTGGGTGATAAAGGGAGATCCTGTCTCTAAAATAACAACAGAAACAACAACAAAAGAGATTAAAATTTAACTCACTTATTAAGCATCCTGTAAGTTGCAGTATAATTTGTGACTAGCAGTGTGGAAAATAGGGAGATGGATATTGTATTAGTCAGTTTTCATTCTGTTGATAAAAACATACCTGAGACTGGGTTATCTCTAAAAAAAGAGATTTAATGGACTCACAGTTCCACGTGGCTGGAAAAGCCTCACAATCATGTCAGAAGACGAAAGGCACATGTTACATGGCAGCAGACAAGAGAATGAGAACCAAGCAGAAGGGGTTTCCCCTTGTAAAACCATCAGATCTCATGAGACTTAGTCACTACCATGAGAACAGTACTGGGGAAACCACCCCAATGATTCAATTATCTCCCACTGGGTCCCTCCCACAACACGTGGGAATTATGGGAACTACAATTCAAGATGCAGTTTGGGTGGGGACACAGCCAAACCATATCAGATACGTTGCTTTGCCAAAAATAACTACATATGATGTTATTGTGTGTTGATTTAGACTACAAAATTAGAACAGAAAAAGCATTAATCTGAAAAACTTACCTGTTGAATTTTAGATTTGTTAATATGAATCACAAAATTTACATAACTATTAAAGGACTTAAATATGCCTCAACTGTAAAGTACAGTGAGTTCTGAGTTCCCCTCCAGAGGCCAGTATGTCAGTATATTTAGCTTCCTTATTCTTTGTTCTTTTTTTTTTTTGAGACTGAGTTTCGCTCTTGTTACCCAGGCTGGAGTGCAATGGCGTGATCTTGGCTCACCGCAACTTCCACCTCCTGGGTTCAAGCAATTCTCCTGTCTCAGCCTCCCGAGTAGCTGGGACTCCAGGTGTGCACCACCATGCCCAGCTAATTTTTGTATTTTTAGTAGAGACGGGGTTTCACCAAGTTGACCAGGATGGTCTCGATCTCTTGACCTCATGATCCACCCGCCTCGGCCTCCCAAAGTGCTGGGATTATAGGCATGAGCCACGGCGCCCGGCCCTCTTTCTTCTTCATTTTAAAGTTTAACATCCTCAGCCAGATGCTGTGGCTCACACCTGTAATCCCAGCATTTTGGGAGGCCAAGGCGGGTAGATCACAAGGTAAAGTGATCAAGACCATCCTGGCCAACACAGTGAAATCCCATCTCTACTAAAAATACAAAAAATTAGCTGGGCATGGTGACGTACATCTGTAGTCCCAGCTACATGGGAGGCTGAGGCAGGAGAATCACTTGAACCCAGGAAGTGGAGATTGCAGGGAGCCGAGATCTCACCACTGCGCACCAGCCTGGGTGACAGAGCCAGACTCTATCTCAAAAAGAAAAAAGAAAAAGAAAAAAAATGTTTAACTTCCTCTTTCTTTACACCTCCTTGCCCCTAGTTTCAGTAAACAACCCCCTTCTGGCATGTATACTCACATATTTAGAGTCCTTAGTCATCCTTAGTCACCTGCTCTGTCCTTAGTCATCCTTAGTCACCTGCTCTGTAACCACCCTTCCCATTGAAACTGCTCACCCTGCCACTCCAGCTCATACTCCTGCTTTCTTTAAAGTAGCCGATTGGAATTAGCTTAGACTGTTCGGTCCAACCCTAGCCAGTAGGGGAATGACACAGCAGTAGGAACTAGCTGCATTAGGGGTAAGAAACCCTTCCCCTTCCTTGCCCGGTGTGCTCTTGTGACCACACCAGGCATGAGTGGCACCCTTGGGCAGAAGTAAATTGCCTTGTTGAGAAAGCTTTTTGTTGGAGTGCTGATTCTTCTTTGAGGCACCAAGCATTTGTTTCTAACATCAGCTGTCTACTTTCATTTTTCAGGTTAAGAAATCTCCAAAACAGTTGGCTGCTTACATAAATAGGTAAGAGTTTCTTTAAAGTTTGTGGGAAACAACAAATATGAAAGCTGGGTAAGGATGATCCAGCTTTTTCTTTTTCCTTTTTCCTAAGGATGACCAAAGGGAAAAAATAAGTATTATCATAATAATAATTAACTTATTGTCAAACAGCTGCACTAATAAACACATCAATATTGTCTCTGCTCCTTACAACAGTCCTACTCTATAGATATCATTACCCCTAACAGTTGATGAGAAAACTTAAGATCAGCAAAGCTAAGTGATTTGTTCAGAATCATATAGCTAGAAAGTGGTAAGAATGACATTCATTTCTCAGATCCCCCTAACTCTAAAGGCACTTTCTACAAAACCACTGGTTCTCAAAGTGTGATTTGAGGACTTGGAGGTCCCTGAGGACCATTCATTTTTCATAGCAATACCAAGACATTGACTCTTCATTTTCATTCTCTTGTTTGAGGGTACAGTATAAGTTTTCAAGAAGCTATATGCCATTTGATATCACAGTAGACTGAATGGAGAAGCAGAAATGAAAACCCAGCTGTCTTTTGTTAAACCACATATTAGAGGTATATAAAAAAGTAAAACAGTGCCATCCTTCTCAGTTTTTAAAAAATTATTTTAGAAAAAATGGGGTTTTAGTAAAATATTTTATGTTAATATGCAATTAGTCTATTTTTTGAATGAATTAAGAAATTCTAAAGTTTGTTTTAGTTTTTACACCGTAAATATCAACAGGTAGTATTCACATAAAAAATTATTTTGGCCAGGCATGGTGGCTTATGCCTGTAATCCCAGCACTTTGGGAGGCCGAGGCCAGTGGATCATGAGGTCAAGAGATTGAGACCATCCTTGCCAACATGATGAAACCCTGTCTCTACTAAATATACAAATATTAGCTGGACGTGGTGGTACACATCTATAGTCCCAGCTAGTCAGGAGGCTGAGGTGGGAGAATCGCTTGAACCTGGGAGGCAGAGGTTGCAGTGAACTGAGATCGCACCACTGCACTCCATCCTGGCAACAGAGCAAGACTCCGTCTCAAAAAAATATATCTATTACTTTGAGTTATTAATAATTTTTAAGAGTGCAAAGCATCCTGACACTAAAACATTTAAGAACCACTGTATTAAACCATGAGGTTTGTTGTATTGTGTTCTGCGTTACTCAAGTAAATTAATATACTTCAGCTTAATTAAAATAAACTTTAAAATATTCAAACCTGCAATCTATTTGCCACTTTGTTAGAAGAGATTAGGTGTCTAGAAAGTGTTACCATTTTCTTACTACCAGAATGGCCTTTAATAATTCATTTTTAAGGGTCTAGTTATTATGCCTTGCCTTCATTTTTATTTGGTATAAAATGTCATCCTTTCATTTGGTAAAAGCATCTAGTTATTATATCTGCTTTCATTTTTATTTGATATAAAATGTCTTCCAGATAATTTGTAATTTTCCTTTTACTTTCCTCTTCAAACTCAGATTAAGATTTTTAAAATTCTGTTTACTTCTAATTTTAGTGGATTACAGTCACAAAGTATGGCCTGTTAACTCTCTGTTTAAAAACTTTTAAAGAATTTCATATGGTTCTTTTTTATTTAAGAAAATAATTTTTTTTTACAGAACAGTTGGACAAACTGTTAAAAGCCCAGATAAACTTCGTAAAGTGATCTATCGCAGAAAGAAAGTTCATCATCCATTTCCAAGTCCTTGTTACAGAAAAAAACAGTCCCCTGGAAGTGGGGGCTGTGACATGGCAAATAAAGAAAATGAACTGGCTTGTGCAGGCCATCTGCCTGAAAAATTACACCATGATAGTCGAACATATTTGATTAACTCCAGTGATTCTGGTTCTTCACAGACAGAGAGCCCATCATCAAAATATAGTGGGTTTTTTTCTGAGGTAAGTCATTTCTCTGAGTCATGTCTAGTTTAACTTTGTTCCTGTTATAATCTTGATTTTTTTCTTTGCCATATTCCACTAGCAGAATAATTTACCACCTATTGAATGTAGACTTATTTAAGTCAAGTAACTCCCTGAGACAATTTTCTAGATTAACCTTTTTTTTTTTTTGATTAACCATATTTGAATCAATAATTTATTCCATTTCTGTAAGATGGGATGAAATGCTTAACAGGCTGCTGAAAATATCCAGAATGACAAGTTAGCCAGTAGAGATTTTAAAGAAGGGAAAAGGAGAAAATCTTGCCTAAAAAAGTGGAGCACAAGGCTGGGTGCAGTGGCTCACGCCTATAATCCCAGCGCTTTCAGAGGCTGAGGTGGCGGATCACGAGGATAGGAGTTCAAGGCCAGCCTGGCCAACATGATAAAACCCTGTCACTATTAAAAATACAAAAATTAGCTGGGTGTGGTGGCACACACCTGTAATCCCAGCACTTTGGGAAGCCCAGGTGGGTGGATCACGAGGTTAGGAGTTCAAAACCAGCCTAGCCAACATGGGGAAACCCCATCTCTATTAAAAATGCAAAAATTAGCTAGGCATAGTGGCAGGCACCTGTAATCCCAGCACTTTGGGAGGCTGAGGTGGGTGGATCACAGGGCTAAGAATTCAAGACCAGCCTGGCCAACATGGTGAAACCCCATCTTTACTAAAAATAGAGAAATTAGCCGGACGTGGTCATGTGTGCCTGTAATCCCGGCTACTTAGGAAGAGGCTGAGGCAGGAGAATCACTTGATCCTGAGAGATGGAGGTTGCAGTGAGCTGAGATCATGCCATTGCACTCCCGCCTGGCCAACACAGCACTACTCCATCTCAAAAAAATAAAAAGAAGGAAAACATCTGCAGGCAGATCACCTGAGGTCAGGAGTTGGAGACCAACCTCAGGAGCCTGACCAACATGGTGAAACCCCATCTCTGCAAAAGTAGAAAAATTAACCAAGCATGATGGCGGTTGCCTGTATCCCCAGCTACTCGAGAGACTGAGGTGGAAGAATCACTTGAACATGGGAGGTAAAGGTTGCAATGAGCTAAGATTGTGCCAGTGCACTCCAGCCTTGGTGAGAGAGCAAGACTCCATCTCAAGAAAAAAAAATGTAGACCACCAAAACCAGTTATCCAGACACATTTTGCTGGGTTCTCAAAATTGCCTAGTTAAAGCATAGTTTATGCAAACCTGCTGTGGTTTGCTGCTTTTCCGGTTCAAGCAAAACTGGTTGTTTTAACAGGCTCAAAAGCATTTTTGAGAGTAATAGAAATATTCTAAAACTGGATTGTGATGATGGTTTCACAACTCTAAATCCACTAAAAACTGTTGGATTACATACTTTCAATAGATGAATTTTATGGCATGTAAATTATACCTCAAGAAAGTAGTTTTTATAAAAATGGTCAGTTGAAGGAATGGTTTTATAAAATTTATAAACACATGAGTTTATGGCAGTAAACATGTTTATTGTATAAGTTATAAAAAAATAAACCCCAAGGAACATTATCTATTATCTCAACATTAGTTATTGATGAAAAGCATTTTCTGTAGTGAACTAGCAGGAAAAAATCTCTTAAAACTAAAATTTTAATAAGTGTATATAGGTGAATGAAGGTGATTGTCATATTTAGGATAATAATTACAAGTAAACAAGATGAAAGAACAGTTAAAAAAAAAGTACTATTAACTAAAACCATAATGAAATAATGTAAAATATTTTTTTTTTGCCAGTGAGAATAAAATCCTGGAGTCAGAAAAAGTTCGTAATGCTAGGAGAAATAAAGGGAGTGAGTAATATCTGTGAGAAAAGAAGAACAAGGAAAATTTGACTTAATAGTGAATTATCATGGGCACTGGAGAATAGAGCCTTAGTGGTAAAGAGAATCACTGTTGTAATAATTCTCTCTCACAAATATTGAGGGCTCTCTACCATTGATACTTAATGCTGTTTCCAGTATCAGGTGTCCTCTGTAGGCTCTGAGGATAGATTTGGTGGGTAAAAAACAGACACTGCTCCCACTTTCAGGTAATTATATAAGTGATGTAGTACCCACTAATCAAATAATTATAGAAACAACATACTCTTAAGGAAAAGAACATGTGACTGTATAGCCTAGAAATCTGACGTAGGTTGGTTCTTTACTTGAACTGACCAAATAAACTTCTGAGTGCAAATGCCTTAAAAAAAAAAGTTTTTAAATGTAAAACCTCAAACTATAAAAATCCAGGAAGATAACCTAGGAAATACCATTCTTGGCAAAGATTTTATGACAAAGACACCAAAAGCAGCTGCAACAACAAAAAAAATGACAAATGGGACCTAATTAAACTAAAGAGCTTCTTTTGCAGAGCAAAATAAACTATCAACAGAGTAAACAGACAACCTACACAGTGTGAGAAAATATTTGCAAGCTATGTGTTCGATGAATGTCCAGTATCCAGAATCTATAAGGAACTTAAGTTGGTTAAGCAGAAAATGAACAACCCTGTTAAAAAGTGGTCAGAGGAGCCAGGCACAGTTGCTCATACCTGTAATTCCAGCACTTTGGGAGGCCGAGACAGGTGGATCACTTGAGGCCAGGAGTTTGAGACCAGCCTGACCAACATGGCGAAACCACATCTCTACTAGAAATGCAAAAATTAGCTGGGCATGGTGGCGCACTTTGGGAGGCCAAGGCAAGTAGATCACTTGAGGTCAGGAGTTCAAGTCCAGCCTGGCCAACATAGCAAAACCTCATCTTTACCAAAAATACAAAAATTACCCAGGCCTGGTGGTGCACACCTGTAAGGCCAACTACTTGGGAGGCTAAGGCTTAAGAATTGCTTGAACCTGGGAGGCAGAGATTGCAGTGAGCCCGATCGTGCCACTACACCCCAGCTTGGGTTACAGAGTGAGATTCTGTCTCAAAAATAATTTTTTTTAAAAAGTGGCTTACAGCTGTGAGCCACCACACCCTACCTGTTTTTTTTTTTTAAGAGATGAGGTCTCACTGTCTTTCCTAGGCTGTACTCAAACTCCTAAGCTCAAGTGGTTCTCCCACCTCAGCTTCCCAAGTAGCTGGGACTGTAGCTACACACCACTGTGCCAGGCTATGCCTTTGTTCTTAAAAGTGAAGTTGGGGGCCAGGCACAGTGGCTCATGCCTGTAATCCCAGCACTTTGGGAGGCTGAGGTAGGCGGATCACCTGAGGTTCGGGAGTTCGAAACCAGCCTGACCAACATGGAGAAACCCCCGCCTCTACTAAAAAAAACAAAATTAGCTGGGTGTGGTGGGGCACGCCTGTGATCCCAGCTAATGTTGAACCCAGGAGGCAGAGGTTGTGGTTAGCTGAGATCACGCCACTGCCCTCCATCCTGGGCAGCAAGAGCAAAACTCTGTCTCAAAAAAAAAAAAGTGAGGTTGGGCCTGGTGTGGTGGCTCATGCCAGTAATCCCAGCACTTTGGGAGGCCAAGGCAGGAAGATCACCTGAGGTCAGGTGTTTGAGACCAGCTTGGCCAACATGGCAAAACAGCGTCTCTACTAAATACAGAAAAATTAGCTGGGTGTTGTGGTGGGCACCTGAGGCTGCGGCAGGAGAATCACTTGAGCCTGGGAGGCGGAGGTTGCAATGAGCTGAGATCGCACCACTGCACTCCATCCTAGGCAACAGAGCAACACCCTGTCTCTAAAAAGAGAGGTTGATCTGTTTTGACATTGAAAAATGTTCATATATTATAGGTAAAAAAGCAATATAGGTAATTAATTTTTCAGAGTATTTATATGTGTATTTAATTTGTCTTTATCTAGAAAATTGTTTGAAAAGATACATACCAGTCTGTTAACTGTGATTATTTCTGCAGAATGATACTGGATGTTTTTGTGGGCGGGTACAGAGTATTTACTTTTTATCTTGTATAGTTCTATGTTAAACACATTAGAATAGGAAAATGACACTAAACAATAAATACATAAATTTAAATTATACTACAACACTTGTCTGAGTTTTTGTAGTTTTCATGCCATTCAGTTGGTAATGACTAGGCCGTATGTTTACATTTTTCTTTTATCCATGTTATAAATTAGGTCCTAGTTTGTAGATCATCTAAAAATAATTTATTTTACAAATTATTGCATTTTAAAAGAAAAATGGAAGCAAGCAGAAAAAAAGTATTAGTAGAAAGTAAACGTTTCTTAAACTCGTTCACATCATTTGTTTACTATGGTTAACTGCATATTCATTGTTTGTGGGCCAATAAAAGGAGTTGTCTTTGCATAATTTTAAACTATGTCTTCCAAATAATTTAATAAAAAAATAGTTTCATATCTTGTTTCATTGTGCTTTTTAGCAAATTAGATTATTGCCTTTCAGGTTTCTCAGGACCATGAAACAATGGCCCAAGTTTTGTTTAGCAGAAATTTGAGATTGAATGTAGCTTTAACTTTCTGGAGAAAGAGAAGTATAAGTGAACTTGTAGCTTATTTATTGAGGTAAGTGTGACCTTTTATCCTCTTTGTTCAATAACGTTTTTTTCTGGGACAGGTCTTGCTTTGTCACCCAGGTTGGAGTGCAGTGACACAGTCATGGCTCACTGCAGCCTCAACCTCCTGGGGTCAAGCAGCCCTCCCGCCTTAATAGGAGTACAGGTGTATGTCACCACACCTGGCTAATTCTTTAAAAACTTTTTTGAAAGACATGATGTCTCATGTGTCCCAGGCTGGGCTGAAACTCCTGGGCTCAAGTGAACGTCCTTCATTTTCTGAACTGCCTATATGTAGCTTCAGTAGAGACTATACTATTTAAATTACATTTATCATTCATCTAAGAGTAGCCAAAATACAGAAAACAATGTTTTATCAGATTGAACAAAGCTATTACCTTTTCTGACTGCCATTCTTACCTATAAAACTAAGAGATAATGACATGGGAAAACTAACCTTCTAAAAATCCTTTTTAAGGCCAGGTGCGGCAGTTCTTATCTGTAATCCCAGCATTTGGGGAGACTGAGGCAAGAGAGTCACTTGAGCCCAGGAGTGAGAGACCAGCCTGAGCAACATAACAAGACTCCATCTCTACAAATAATAAAAATAATTAACCAGGCACAGTGGTGCCTGCCTGTGGTCCCAGGTACTTGGGAGGATTGCGAGTTGGAGGTTGCAGTGAGCAGTGATCATGCTACTGCATTCTAGCCTGGGCAACAGAATAAGACTCCGTTTCTTAAAAAAAAAAAAAAAAAATTAATATCCCTTTTAAGTGGGAATTTGAAGCATTACTTTTCTCATTGTATTCAAGTCTCTTAAATGTTACGTTAGGGAAGCCTTCTTTGACCACCTTATTTTAAAATACCTATTTCTCCACTCCCTATCTCCCTTTCCTGTTTTATTTTTCTCCACAGCGCTTACATCAACCTGCTCTATATGTCTTATGTCTTGTTATTTGTTTATTGCCTGTCTCTGCCCCACCCCCAACTCCACTTGCTCACACACTGGAATGCAAGCCCTGTTTCTTTGTTCATTGCTATATCCACCGACCTGACTCATTGTAGATACTGAAATTTTTAAATGAGTGAATTTCTCAAAAGCAGTGTGAATAATCATAACATGAAAGTAAATAAGGAAATCATCTCTCTGAGGCAATGCTGTTCTTTTTATACTCTCAGGATAGAAGATCTTGGTGTTGTGGTAGATTGCCTTCCTGTGCTCACCAATAGGTAAAAACAACAATATTTTTCAGGAAAAAAGTAAGATTAAAGGAGGTCAAATTATGGCCTATCCATATTTTTATAACTTGATATTTATTTTAGTTTACAGGAAGAAAAACAATATATCTCACTTGGCTGCTGTGTAGACTTGTTGCCTCTAGTAAAGTCGCTACTTAAAAGCAAATTTGAAGAGTAAGTGCTAATATGAATCTTGATTAATTTTTCTTTTTCAACATCCTTGATTTTATGTTTTGTGAGTACATAGTAGATTGGACATCATGAGACATACAAGATTTCTGTTGCCAAGAAGCTAATAGTACAGTTAGGAAAAGAATATGAAATGACTAAAGGGCAATTACAAAAGCATCTCTAAACAAGTTACATGAAATACACTTTTGTGAAATATATATGAAGGTAATAAATTTTTAAAAGGGAAGAGTCCAATTTGTGTATGCGTTTTTTGGGAGGGAAAATCTCTTATAAAAAGGATTCTTAAATGAAAACACTTGAACTTTGTAACAAAATGTCATTTCAGATATGTTATAGTTGGTTTAAACTGGCTTCAAGCAGTCATTAAAAGGTGGTGGTCAGACCTGTCATCCAAAACAGAAATTATAAATGATGGGTAAGTATACCTTTAAAGATAAATTCATGCTGAAATTTTCTTCAGGAAAGCTTGATTAAACTAGATAATAATTTTATTCTGTTTTCATCAGTGTGATATTTATTCTCTTTATAGATACATACTGACTTAAGGTACTGTTCATTGTGAAAACCACACCTGGAAGTTGAATTCCAGAGCCTACTAACCCCCTGTATCTCTTCTTCTGACACAACCCTACCCTTCATTTTAGAAGAACACAATAGTGGTTTGATCTTCATATTCATTATATGAGTAAGGGAGGGAAAAGAGATACCCACAGTAGAATAAGGAATGGAGGTGTCCTGCAGGGTCCTGTAGCCTAGACATTAACCTGAGAGTCCGGTGTTGGTGTTTACAGTTCTAAAAACTAAATTATTACTGCCTTGATGTGGAAATTTTGTGGCATTCTACTAGAGTATAGCCAGATTATTATGAAACCACAGAAAAATATCTCCCAACAGTTTCCTTAAAGTCCATAATTTTGGGACAGGTGCAATGGCTCATGCCTGTAATCCCAGCACTTGGGAGGACAAGTCAGGTAGTTCACTTGAGCTCACAAGTTTGAGACAGCCTGGGGAACATGATGAAACCCCATCTCTACAAAATATACAAAAATTAACCAGGCATGGTGGTGTGCACCTGTAGTCCCAGGTGCTCATGCTGAGGCAGGAGGATCACTTGCGCGCAGGAGGATCACTTGCGCCCAGGAGGTGGAGGTTCCAGTCACCACTGCACTCCAGCCTGGGTGGTAGAGCCAGACCTTGTCTCAAAAAAAAAAAAAAAAAAAATCCACAATTTCTTTTCTAGGCTCTCAAAAATTTCTACGTCACACCCAAGGAATGTCCAAATGTTCCAAATGCCTAGTCGTTTTCTTACCTGATTTGACAATTAAATAACCTTTAATTTTCTTTTTTTTTTTTTTAATGGGAATCAAGTAAGAAATTTTATTAATTTTGGAATTGAAAAAAAAAAATATTTTGGCTGGGCGCAATGGCTCATGCCTGTAATCCCAGTACTTTGAGAGGTCGAGATAGGCGGATCACCTGAGGTCAGGATTCCAGACCAGCCTGGCCAACATGGCAAAACCCCATCTCTACTAAAAATACAAAAATTAGCTGGGTGTGGTGGCGGGCACCTGTAACCTCAGCTACTGGCTGAGGCAGGAGAATCACTTGAAATCGGAAGTTGGAGGTTGCAGTGAGCCAGGATTATGCCACTGCACTCCAGCCTGGGCAACAAGAGCAAGACTCCATCTCAAAAAA